ATATAATAAATTCAATTCAATTCAATTCAAACCTTTATTGTCAGAGTACAACATGTGTACAATGAGATTGACTGAGCCTTCCTTTCTGCACATCCCCAACACAATACAACTCACAGTGAAAGGCAAAAAATATCCCTAGCCCAGTGAATCCTACTAACAAACACCCAGTCCTATTGCACCATGTGAACTTATTGCACATTGCGTCACAAGTCAATCATACTATGTTGCTGTCGAGTTATTTTTCATTCAGGAGACTGACAGCCCACGGATAAAAACTGTTCTTTAGCCTGTTTGTGCGTCTGCCTATGCTTCTATATCTCCTTCCAGAATGTAGGAGAATAAAGAAGGGCTGACCAGGGTGTGAGTCTTCCCTGAGGATTTTCCTCACTCTTCTAAGGCAGCGAGCCTGTCCATGAGATCAACAGAAATCAAGTATCACTGGAATATTTTACAGTGGACTGTCTATCATCATACATCTTGATGGTGTGTGTGTGGCTAATCTATTTGTTTAAATACTTTGTCTTTCAATGCAGCTCTTTTGAAAACAGCTGTTTTCAATCAGTCATAAATTCTAGAAAGGAATAAGGCTTGAGAACTACAGGAAGGAGGCCACCAATAGCAGTTTTTAACCCCTACCAGTACTGACTGCCACGTACACAGCATAAGTTGCCTGCCAAGTTTGGCAGGTTTTTCTTCATAGTGATAATGATTCTACAGAGGTTAAGTAGGCATCCAGCTTTACTCCTGCATGTAATGAGATCGTTTCCTCATTCACAAAATGTTCTCTTTTTAAAATTGTATTTTAGAATTGAGCCCTGCACATGTATATTTAGCATATGAGTGCTATGGCACCTTGCTTGTGTGTGATGATTTTAATTCTCTGGAGTTCTTTATTTTCTTTTCTGCTGTTATTAACTCACCTATATTCCATTGTGTAATTTTATAAATCTTTTAGAACATAGTATCAACATCTGAAAAGACAAGGAAGATGGGAACAGTCATGGAAAAACAAGAAAAATCTTCCCCCCCCAAATCTCCAAATTCAGAAGGTTTCAAATTGGTATGTGAAAGAACACCAATAGATAATAACTGATTCAAAGATCAAACAAAGATGGAAGAAATATACTAAAATCATATATATATTAGGAGTGTCAACATACAAGATATTTTAGAAAGTAATAACTTGAGTTTGTACTACTAGAATATAAAGTGTTGAACTTTGGAGAAAACATTAGGAATATCACAGATAGACAAGAAAACAAATGGATCATAAAACAAGTCCAGAATTTACATTCAAAGCACAAATGATTAGGCCAAATTATATTTTGGACCATTACAGGAAGTTCCCTTGAAAAGTCTCTTGTGATGGGAACACAAGAAGGAAAAAACACTGGAAAGAAAGAGAGAAGGCAAAGAACAACAAGGTGAATGGACTCAATTACAATGGTGGTCTGTGCCATTTCGAGGACAGGTCATCCTGGAGAAGATCATTTATGTAATTGATAAGAAACAGTACTGACCTAATGGTGTATACATCAAAAGATTTTGCAAATTTTGAAAGCACTTTCTGCTCAGGTTATTTACAGTAGTTAACTTGAACTTTTCCAAGATGTTGTTAGTTAATTGGTAATAGGTGGGAGAGGTTTTTGTTTTCTTTGCACTTTTGTTTATTTATCCTCCACCCTTCAAATAACATTAACATAGAACCTTGCCTGGAATGTACTACTTGACTCTGTTGTTACATCCTCAAACCCCCATAACTTTAACCTTAAACTATCTGTTGACCTCACCCCATTCCTAAGAGGTCTGTAAGGAGTGTGCATAAGCACACCAGCCTGCCTACCGTCCCTGTCCAACTGTCCCTATTTATTTGTCCCCATTTCCTGTGTTTTTATTCATGTTTATTCTTATTCCTGCTTTATTGCACATGAGTGACAAACTAATCACTACTTATGCAAACTACAGCAAAGCAGTGTGTGTGTGTGTGTGTTTGTTTGTGTGTTTGTTTGTAGATTTGCACTTTTCCCCCTCAGTGCGGAGAACACTACTTCTTTGCCCCGGAGATAAAAAGCGCAGAGAGTCTTTACTGGCCCTTGCGAAAGAAACCCAAGAAAGCGAAGGCAAGATTTGAAGTTGCACCAGCGACCTCTACAGGACATATAGGAGCTGTGCTGGCGGAGCAAGGAGCTGGAAGCCCGTCAAATGCACGCCGTAGGTGCGGGCCTTGTTCAGAACTGCTGGAGTGAGAGCAGTCGTGCGTCTGCGCAGATCTCGTCTCCTCTCTTTCCGGGATCGATGGTTTCAGCGCTGGAACCTGCAATTTAAGAAAGTGGATCGGGATCATGGAAAAAAGGAGAGACTCCAACCCAGTGGGGTCGTTACTAGCAGCCGCTCGGGAAGTGTATAAAAGGGTTTATGGCGGGGAAGATCCTAAAATTGCAGTGTCGGCGCCCGGCAGGGTAAATTTGATCGGAGAGCACACCGATTACAATCAAGGGTTCGTGCTACCTATGGTAAGGAAGCAATGCCGTGCAGAAAAATCAGATTAACTTCGGCTGTGCTTCTTCCAGTTTTATGGGGATTTTCCAAAGACCTCTCGGGCAAATTCCTTCATGTTGACTTCGTCGATGTAGAGGAGGAGAATTAAAAAAGCCGTTAATGCCATGAAGATGGTAATATTGTTCCTAAATATGGGAAAGCCAGTATTTAAAGAGATTAATATTTTTGTCAATGGGTAGGTAAAGTTGCTGAAGATTACCATTGAAAACTTGATTCCTTTCGGAAATACTTCTATCTCTTCCATGTCCAGCAGAGTTAAGCCTGGTTGGATTGCAAAACGTGGAGTTAAATATTCACTAAGTATAAAATAGCAAATGCTAAGCTATTCTTTCCAACTTATGCTTTCATTACCCTTCTCTTATTTCTCTGACATAGTAATGAATTCAAAGGCAAATTGTTCCACAAAAAGTTGTGTTTTATGTCTAAACATCATGATTTCCTGTTGCAAAATATTTACCGGATGAAGACATTTCTCTAAAAATTTAGCAAGAAATAAAGTTCCCTGAGTGTGAAAATGCTGTTCTGACAACGCCCTAAGATATTCACTGAATATAATTTATTGAAATAACTCCAAAACACTCAGGAGTACAACACACCTGAGTTAACCTGAGAGTAGGTTTACACAGCACATTCCATTAGAATGTAATTTTATTGTTTATAGTTTGCTACAGGATAGTTTGTTATACTATCTGTGAAGTGGTTTCTTTCTTTTTTCTCCTTTACTGAATCTGTTTGCATCTAAGTTAAAGGAAAAAGATAACTTTTGGAATGCCTACATTAATGTCATGCTAAACATCCACTCTTAAATCCCCAAAATATCTTCGATCTTCATCTTTGCTTCATCATTCTCCCCTAACTGAAATTATGCTTTCTAAAGAGGTTCTACTCTTTCTGTCTTTGTGACCCATAGACTTGGAAGTACCTACTTCAACTCATGAGATGTATTGAACTATAATGACCATTGGATAATAAAAATCTCTCCCCATCCTAAAGAAGTACAGATGGTGTAATTACATAATTCCTTCTCTGTTTTTCCATGGGCTTAATTTTAAATTATTAAAATTATTTCTTTGTATTCTGCAAGATATCCTGTACAGTGGTGACAATTTATGAAAGTATGAATAAGCAGACTCCATTCAGTGTGATGGAAGCAGATTTCTGTATGTGTGTTGTAAGATTTCCTCCACATCTCCAAATTCATGTTCTTACCATACCATTTTCTGCACCTCTGATCTGAGGATGTCTGGTAGGTAGGATAACTAAATTAATCCAAATGTTCATCAAATACATTGAGCTCCAGACTCATCACACTGGCTGTGTTTGCACAATATTAAGCCATAGATTATCCAGGTGTGATGTGTGAAGTCAGCAATTGTATATTTTGGGAAACATGTTTTCACACAAATCAGTTAATAGGCATATTCAATGTTTCTAAGGACTATATTGGATAAATCATTACAAATCAAAGGATTGTCTCCATCATAATAATTGTCCTAAGTGACCAACATTAAAAACTTCAGGAAGAGTCATTCTTCTGCTTCTAATATCTACATTCCTACTCATATTCTTCATCCTAGAGCCAAGGTGGCACAGTGGCTAGAGTGCAGTACTGCAGGCCACTTCAGCTGACTGCTATCTGCAGTTCGGCAATTCAAATCTCACCGGCTCAAGGTTGACTCAGCCTTCCATCCTTCCGAGGTGGGTGAAATGAGGACCCAGACTGTGGGGGCGATATGCTGACTCTAAACCGCTTAGAGAGGGCTGAAAGCCCTATGAAGCGGTATATAAGTCTAACTGCTATTGCTATTGCTATCCTCCTTTCTATTCATTCTTGGGCTCCTCTGCATTTATAAGGGGAAAATACCATGCAGAAAGTGTTTTTTAGGAATCTTACCCATCTTTTCTATTTAGTTACATTGGACATGACACACCTATTGTAGATGTTGCAGAGCCACAATTCTTAGCAGTCCCAGCCTGTGGTGGAGGGCACTGAGAGTTGTAGTTCATCAACTGCTGGAAGATCAGTTGATTTTTCCATTGCGACCCTATACAGCACTCTGTTTCTTCAGGCCATACAGATGAGGACAGTCGTGGTTGGGAGTCCAAGGGAAGATGGAATGATATCCATAACTACAACTGCAGAGGAAGCGGAAGAGCCTAAAATTGTGCAGTTTCCCCTTCCCAGGGAAGGTGTTTCCTTGAAACCCGGAGAACCTCGCTGGGCTAATTATGTAAAAGGGGTTATCCAGCATTATAAAGGTAAGATCCAAAACCAATCAAAGATTGAGGTTATTACATTATTCGGCAGTTGGGGCATCCATAAGGAGGGAGTAAAGAAACTTTAGGTGGCAGCTACAACAATGCAGTCAAAACTCTGCTCTTTCCCCATGTGACTATCTGCCACCACAGACTCTCCTCTTCAGCAGGAATGAGGCGATGGAGGTCTATAATATAACATTATTCAATAGAGACATTGAAATATTCCTTGTCCCCGCTCTCTTAGTAGGGCTTTAGGAAGATTTTCTTCTCAATCTCTCTCACGGAATGCTAAACTGTGGTTGCCTTATAACCCATTAAATACAAACCAATTAGAGCTGTGGTGACGTAGTGGTTAGAGTGCAGTACTGCAGGCTACTTCTGATCACCAGCTGCCAACAGTTTGGCAGTTTGTGGCTCACCGGCTCAAGGTTGACTCAGCCTTCCATCCTTCCGAGGTGGGTCAAATGAGGACCCAGATTGTTGGAGGCAATAGGATGACTCTATAAACCGCTTAGAGAGGGCTGTAAAGCACTGGAAAGTGATATTGCTAAGTGCTATTGCTAAATGGGTTCCCATCACCCACAAAGCCAAGATAGCAGTGGGATAGGCAATTCCAGCCATTGTGTCTTTAACTCCTTTAAAAAAGTGTAGCCCTTAACTTAAACAAAGCATCTTTCCATAACTCTGACAGATTGTTAGTTAAATATGATGTTTTTCAGAATAGCTTGTTAAATAACAGATTATTTGCAGGACGCCTTGAATTATGTTGTTTTCTCTCTGTGCTGCTCTTCTGTTTCATTATAGCTGGCCCCCTCCCAGGCTTTGATGTTGTGATAGAGAGTAATGTACCAATAGGGGGTGGTCTCTCAAGTTCAGCCTCCTTAGAAGTGGCCATGTACACCTTCCTGCAGCAGCTCTCTCCTGGTAAGAATTATACCATGTCTGTGATGAAACAGCAGATTACTTGCATTCCTTTTAAAGCAAGTGAAGTGCTAACTGGATACATCGAAGGAAGGAAGGAAGGAAGGAAGGAAGGAAGGAAGGAAGGAAGGAAGGAAGTTATTTTTCCTTCTTTTCCATCACTTTAACTTGCACCACCATCAACTGCTTCTCTTCTTTCAATCCTCTCTCAAAGTTCGTTCGTTCCTTCCTTCCTTCCTTCCTTCCTTCCTTTCTTTCTTTCTTTCTTTCTTTCTTTCTTTCTTTCTTTTTTTCTTTCAGAGGCAGTTGATAGTAAGGGAAATTAAAGTGATGGAAAAGGAAACAAACAACCAGGGAAGAGAAAAAGAAGCTCTTGTGACAAACTAAGCAATCATTCTTTTTAAAAAAAACAGAAGGTGCATTTTGTTTTTCATGTCTCCTATTTTTCCACCAATTAAGGATAACTGTTAATATTTCACCCAACTAATCTGAGTTAATGAGAGAGAGAATATAAGGCTTTATTTCTCAATCCCCGATCTTAACCTACCAGGAAAATAACTTAAAAGAACACTCAACCAGTTTAGGGTGCCAACAGTGACATTTGAAATATACTTATTTACCCTCAAAAGGACTATAGAAAAATATTAGAACAAAGAAACCTGGTTTCAACACATCCAGCTCTACTGGGAATTCTGAGAGTAGAGATGACCTACCTGGAGCACAGCCATGTAGGGGGTAGGCTAGGGGCTGAGGGGCAAAATCCAGACAATGAGATGGAAGCAAAGAATGTTTCCTGCCTTTCTTTGTCATCATCAACCAATTCCAGATTTTTTTCAGTAGCCCTTTAGAAGGCTGGTCTAGGGTATACTTTTCAACCTGAAATTTCTACCCCCTTTTCAACTTTGTTAGCTAAAATGAGACTGAGGTTGACCACAGCTGAAAACGTGTTGGTAGAGATATGTTGCAATCCCTGGCAACTTCAAATGGTTGGGAAATATTCTGCCAAATTAGAAAGCTGCTACCACTCAGGGAAGCACACACACACACCAGTGCTAGAGAAAGACTAACCTATATAGGTTCTGGTGTTCTCTTTTCCAAGCAGCTGCATGATCACTGTTAAAAACCAAATAGTGGATTAGAATTTAGTTAGCGGATGACCCTCTAAGGCAGGGCTGCCAAACTCGGAGTCCATGAGCCAGATGCATCATGCGCTGACCATGCCTGTGCCCAGTTTAGCGAAGAGGGGAAAAGTCCCGATACTACACATGATGCCACCATGATAACGTGAGTTTGACACCCCTGCTCTAAGGCATTAGTCATTGTTTACAAAACACAGCAGCTGAATTTACACAACGTATCAAGGATTCTTGGAGAACAACTATCCCTTCTGGAAGCGGGTTTCAGGCATGGAATCAGCCTGGATTCACTATATAAACACAAGAGAGCTAGGTCTGACCACTCGGACAGATTCCTGTGTAATAGGCAGAGAACAATAAAGTAACCTAGATTGAACATCCAAGAAGCAGATGTAGACAGAGATAAAGATTTAAGAGAGTAATTTTGGAGCCAAGTTAAAAAAAAGAATAGCAATTAAAGTATTGAAGAGACAATATTGGCAAGAGACGAAGGATAGATGATTTTTTTTTTACAGTTGTTTTGATTTGCTTTTCCATTTCCCTCTCTTTTTATAGCATAGCAATTAAAGTATTGATGTGGGCAAGAGACGATGGATGGATGGATGGATGATTTCTCTTTTTTGTTGTTCTGATTTGCTTTTTCTCTCTTTTTTTTTTAGGTAGGTGACATGCTTATAGGTTAGATAGGAAAGAAAGAAAGAAAAAGTTGCCTAACAAGGGTGACATGATTAAAAGCTAGAATAAGTAATAGAAATAAGAGAAGGGGGAGTATTAACGTATACATTTTTATATAACAAAATAAAAGTAATAACGAGAAATGTGGAATGATTGAACAATGATAGACTGTAACCTAATATAAATGTGTGTTATTATTAAAAATACATAAGTGGATTGAATGTAATAATTATGATTATCTTTATTAGTTTTATTTGCATTTGAATGTAAGGTGCCACACTGTTTACACATTAATTTGAGTTATTTATAAAAAATAAAAAACTTGGGGGGGGGGGAAATAAAGTAACTGATTGGAACATGGGCTGATTTTCTTGGCCATGCCCATTCTGAAGAGCTCAACTCCTAGAAAACAAGCACTAGAAGGCTACACTTTTTATACATCTGCATGTTTTGACTTGTTTTGATATATGAATATCAAACATTTTTATATTTGGCCCTCTTTCCTTTATCTGGAAATAAAGTACTAAATTGTCAGTGGATATTTTTCTTCTTTGGTACAGATGACATGGATCCAGTTACTAGGGCACTGGTGTGCCAGAAAGCAGAACACACCTTTGCAATGATGCCTTGTGGTATCATGGACCAATTTATCTCCATGATGGGGAAGGAAGGACATGCCTTGCTGATAGACTGCAGGTTAGAATGTGGCAATAAGTCATTCTCTTGTGACTTCTTCCATCTATGTAGAGAGATGATGAGTTATGAATCTCCACAGATGAGTTATCTCATCTAACTAGGCTCAGAGTATTCAAAAGAGAAGAAGGATGATGTTGCTCGGTCAAAAAAAAAAAGCTTCTTGTAAAGTATTTGTGGAATAAAATTCTCAAAGAGCGTTCAGATAACCCTTGTACCTTAAGCCCTGGGTGAGTTGCTGAGGCTAGGGATAGAGCTAAATCCATGTCCTTTAAGTTGACAGTTAAGACCACTTTTTAATGATTGTATGAATATTTTTATAGAATATTAGAAATCGTTAGAATGTAACACATACCCAACTCATGTACATTTTAGAATTCAGAATGTGGATTTAAAATTTAAACCATTTTATCAATGGTTAGAGAATAAATATGAAAAGTGGAAAAAAGCAGAAGAGCGAAATAGAGAAAATGTTTTAACAAAGTTAATTAAGTTAAGAAGGGGATTGTTATAGTATTAGGTATCGTATATATTAGTATTAGTATTAAGTTAAGAATAGATAAAATAATAAATATGGCTGCAAATTGTTATTGTATAAAATATTTGCACAAAATATATGTACCCAGATGACACACTGTTTAATAAAAGATGATGTTTGAATTAAATTAAAATAAAATAAATATTAAAACAAAGTTTAAAGCACTGCATTTTTAAAGTTGTTTTATGTGGACAGTGCACTTTCGTTTATAATGACAGCTCTCTTCGGTATTTCTTATGTGTAAGTCACTGAACCCAGCAACCACCTTTAGGATCATTTTGTGTGATCGAGTTATGTCCTCTTGTTATTCAAGGTCATTGGAAACTCGCCTGGTCCCTTTGACTGACCCAGACTTAGTTGTTCTCATCACCAACTCCAATGTACGACACACTTTGACAGGCAGCGAATATCCCACACGCCGACGTCAGTGCGAAGAGGCAGCCAGGTTTCTGGGAAAGGCAAGCCTGAGAGAAGCCAGCATGTCAGACTTAGAGGGTAAACACGATTTGGAAAAGGGGGGTGGGGGCATGTCAGCTTCCAACCTTCAGAACATCTGAAGTTTTGTGTGTCTGTTGCAGAGCAAGGGGAGATGGTAACTCAGTCATTAAGCAAAACAGTTGCTAAGGTGATTGTGCTTACGATCTTACTTCGGCTTGCCTTTGCTTTACAGACCTGCAAAAGTCAAATGTTAGGATGGATTGTAAAGTTACTTTTTCATGATTGTTGTTAACTGCAAATGGTCACTGAACAGAGCACTTGCTAAATGAGGACTATTCCCTGTACTATCACACAGGAGGTGACAGAAAACTCAAAACTTTCCATTGGGGATAATTTTTAACTTTTGAGCCCTGATTGAATCTTGTTTTGTTTTGCTTTTTTCTCTCTTTCCAGAGTCCAGGAGCTTCCTGAGTAAGGAGATGTACAGGCGAGCCAGGCATGTGATTGGGGAGATTGAACGCACAGCTAGAGCAGCCGAGGCTCTGGAGACCAGGGATTATAAGAGGTTTGGAGAGCTAATGGTAGAGAGCCACAATTCCTTAAGGTAAGGAAACATTCTGAAGCTGATATAGAGTCTAGGTCCGTGATGGTGAAGCAATGGCACGCGGAGCCATTTGTTAGGGCACGCGAGGTGACTTCAGCCTTCTTTTAAGGCCGTTTTTCGCCCTCCGGAGGCTTCAGGGAACCCTCCTATAGGCCCCGGAGGTTGAAAAACGGCCCTACAAGCAAACTGGAAGTCCATTCCAGAACTTCTGGTTTGCCTGTATGGCAGTTTTTTGTGTGCTCCAGAAGCTTCAGAAAGCCTCAAGCCTGGGGAGGGTGAAAAAAAGCACGCCAAAAGCGGGGGGGGGGCCCCCAAAGGGGGGGGGGGGGGGGGTAGTGCTGGTCGCATGTGCGTGGGGGGAGGTTGCACACGCATGTGCACTGGGGTCATTATGGGTATGAACACATCCGTGCATGACCACCAACACCTGCGCTACCCCCACATTTGGAACGCGATCCAAAAAAGGTTAGCTAGATTGGATGTACACGAAGCTATTTCTTGCAGAAGATCAACACACCTTACAGGTAGTCCTTGACTTACAACAGTTCACTTAGTGACCGTTTGAAGTTACAACGGCATTGAAAAAAGTGATTTATGATCCTTTTTCACACTTATGACCGTTGCAGCATCCCCATGATCCTGGTTTTCGATGCTTGACAGCTGACTCACTTCTATGACGGTTGCAATGTCCCAGGGTCATTTGATCCCCTTTTATGACCTTCTCACGCAAAATCATTGGGGAAACTAGATTCACTTAACAACCGTGTTACTCATTTAACAACTGCAGTGATGTTCTTGCTGTGGCAAGAAAAGTCATAAAATCAAAACTCATTTCACAGATGTCTCACTTAGCAACATAAATTCTGGGCTCAGTTGTGGTCGTAAGTTGAGGATGACCTGTATTGTACATCTATTGTATCTCTTTGGTTTCACAAAATTAAGGACATCTTAATGTAAACCTACTACTTTTTATTCCTCTTACATTCTAAATGATTGTTGTTTGTTAGATGAACAAACAAACATTAGATGAACCCATAAACACCATCTGTCATGCCTTGGCCAGCTAAGACATATTTTTTAAATAAGACAAAAGTCTAGACTGGATTGTTTGCCTTAATCATATTTGTTCCACATGGGGTGTTTCTGCCTAAGAGTAAATGAAGTCAGTTTGGCACATCATATTCTTTCCATATCCCAGCAACAAAGATCTACATACAGTGTAATGACATAGGACAGGGATCCCCAACGTCTGGGCCGTAGGCCACTACTGTGGCCTGATCTCCACTGGGCTGCGTGAGTAGCCAGCATGTGCGCACAGCCCCACATGCGCGAGCATCGCTACAAGCGGAGCAGGTAGTCGCAGCCCAACTTGCACAAGTGTCGTTGCGAGTGCTTGTGGCCCCACTCACACAAGCCTCACCGCATATGTTGCAGACATGCTCACAGACACATGCACACGCACCTGTCCCTCCCACCAAATCATCCCCTTTCCCCCTCCCGCTCTGGGCCGCGAACCCCGAAAGTTTGGGGAACTCTGACGTAGAATTTATCTGTTGCAAGTGATACATTTTAATGCAGGGGTGGGCAATTCATTGTTCCAAGAGGCTATGTGAGAAATTGAGACTATTGTGGAAGGCTGAACAAATAGGGCTGTGAAGGTGTGTAGGCAGGAATGCCTGCACAAAGGTAAACTGGAAAAAAAAATAGCAGTCATCTTCAAACTAAAAGCAATCACTTGTATTGCATGCATAGTGTAGTACACTTATTTACATTTGATTTCTAATTTCTGGTTGCCCTCATGTGGGCTGGATAGAGACAGCCAAAGAACTGGATGTGGTCCAAGGCCGTAAAATGCCCAGGTCTGCTTTAATGCATCCCAAGGTGAGAATTGGATATTTCTGTAATATCATCCCATGTCTATCATTATATTGATTTGGTCTAGTGTAACTCCTAACCGTTTTTCCCCCTTTGTGGGTAGCTTCCTATCTTCCAGATAGTAATTAACAAGGGGTCCCCCCCCCCACATTTTTTGTTTAAAAATCACTTATTTTTCCTCCCATCAGGGATGATTATGAAGTTAGCTGTCCAGAATTAGATGAGCTGGTAGCTGCTGCCATGGAAGTGCCTGGAGTTTATGGTAGCAGAATGACTGGTGGCGGTTTTGGAGGTTGCACCGTAACTCTTCTTGAATCGGCAGCTGCAGAAAAAGTTCTGAAACATATCAAGGTATGTGGTTCATCAGGCTGCAAGAGCGGATTTGCTGGTACATTTCTCTCATTTACAACAGAGATGAGCAGAATTTTAACATCAGCTTTTTCTTCTTGGATCCTGTGTTTAGTTCCTCTAGAAACAAAGCACTCTCTCTGGGGATAAATATACTGTACCTTTCGGAGTATAAGACAGATGTTTCTCCCCCCTAAAAGAGGGTGGAAATGTTGGTGCATCTTATAAACCGAATCTTATAAACCGAATATGGCCATTTTTGGCTTTCTGAAACCCCATCCTGCTTGTCCCGTTTCTTGGATCCTGTGTTTAGTTCTTCTAGATACAAAGCACACTCTCTGGGGACAGATATATTGTACTTTTCAGAGTATAAGACAGACTTTTTCCCCACCTAAAAGAGCGTGGAAATGTCGGTGTGTCTTATACACCGAATACGGCCTTTTTTGGCTTCCTGAAACCCTGCCCCACGGTGTCCCGTTTTTGCCCAAAATGAACCCGCAAAAACGGTGCACAGAGGGTTTGGGAGGCTGCAGAATCATCCTGAGGGCTGGGAAGGGCAAAAACGGGATGCATAGGGGATTGGGAGGCCAAAAACGGACCCGCTTTTCACTAAAATGGGCCTGTTTTTCCCTAAAATGGGATGTGCAGAGGGTTTGGGAAACCTGTAGAGTGCTCTTGGGGGCCAGGGAGGGCAAAAACCGGATGTGCAGAGGCCAAAAACCTTTTTTCTTATTTTCCTCTTCAAAATCTTTGTGCGTCTTATACACTGGTGCATCTTGTAGTACGAAAAATATGGTATATTAGAATAAAGGATGCAATCAATGCATGCGGTTGTTTTTGATATCAAAAATTCCAAAATCATCAATAAATTTCATTCAGGAATCCAGTCTTATTTTTTCTTCCTAGCTCTCTTTTGTAGTCTAATTCCTCACTGTGAATCTAAGAACAGTTTTAAGGATCTGAATTTATACCCTGAAACAAAAACCCTAACCCTGTGTTTTTGCCTTCCATCAGCGTAACCTGCCACTAGTGTATTGGCCTTATGTGCCTGCTTATTCCTGAGATGATCCAAGCAGGAAGAAACAGGCTCCAAGCATATCCTTCTGGGCCCTGAATTCCCAGCATCTTCCTTTTGTCCTCTGCCTGTTTCCAACCACTGATGACAATGTCCCACTGCTACATCTTGCACCTGCCTCCTTTTCTCTCTGAGGTTCTGCTGTACCAGGCACCATGTTCCCACACACCAGCATCAAGGAAAACGCTCCATCTTGGATTTCCCCTCCCCCCCTTGTTCCCCATTCTAAACCACATTTGTCCAGAACTACCACATTTCAGTCCATACTGCAACAAAACACCCTTATTTTGTTCTGTATACAGGCCAACAGCTGCATACATAAAACGGTCCACGCATGGAATATTTTTTTCAGATGCCTAATGTCATTAATTGCAAGGAAAGCATTTTTATGTTTTTAGAGGAATGAAGTACGGTAGAAAGTGTCTGTGTGTGAGAAAGAAAGATTTTAACAGCATGGATTTTAGCATGAATAGATGAATTTAGTTCTGAGGAGAAAAATCTGTGCTGGTGAGCATAGAAACTGTCTTGGTCCACCTCCTATTTATCTTCCACAGTTTCTCTGTTAAGAGCTGTTTCTTTCTGTTGCTATTAGAACTGTTGTTGTTTGGATAAAAAGTCTTCAGTCCAGACACAGGCAATCTGCTGCCTTCTGGGTGTTTAATACCTTGACAGTTTTTCCTACAGCAGTAGAAGACCAGAATATTTGGGAGAACATTTGTCCATTCCTGGCTTAAACACCCATTATTAGCACATGTTTTCTATTGCTAAATTTGCTGTTTGATCAAACTCATATGCTTGCTGATAATGTCTTTGAGGTTATTCAATTGTGTCCGATTATTGGAGATTGCTTGAACAAATCTTTGCCATTTTCCTGGCATGGATAAACTACTTTTTCAGAAGTAGTTTATCCTTGTCTGCGTCCTGGGTCCGAAAGTGAGTAGCCCAAGGTCAGCCAGCTGGCTTTGTGCTTAAGACAGTATTGGAAGTTAGAGTCTTTCTAGCCTGATGCCTTAACCACAACACCAAAATAGTTTTCGTCTTTAGTTTACCTGTTAATAATTGCCCTCTGACTGATATATAGCCATCTGATATGCCCCAAATCAGATTTCCCCACTTTTTCTCCTGATGCAGTTTGTGTTCCTTGATCATTCAGATCATTGCACTTCATGATTTATTTATTTATTTTGCTTTTATCGATTAGGAGAAATACAGCAGGACAGCGACATTCTATTTCACGAAACCCGCCGATGGATCTAAAATACACCTCCTGTCATGAAAGCTCTTCCATCTGGCCTGTAGGATTCACTAAGAAAAGTGATAAGAAAAGCATGACATTTTTGGACAGCTTCCTGGGACATTAGCTTGGAACAAAGTCTTGACTACTTCCATAAAATAAGTGAAGTAAGTGAAAATCTCTGTGCACGCACATATTTTTTTTTTCTTTTAGCCAAGAGTCCAAAAGAGATTTTTGTTTGATTTGCAAGACAGTTTTTGGCACTGACTTTCCTTTTCAGAGAAAGACTGTAATGAGTTTGATTAAACAGTCCTTGATTTCTGCATACAGTTTTTTGAAATAAGTTCCTTCAACAACCTGGATGGAAATACTGAGGCTGGGAAAGTCTGGCATAAACTCCACAACTCTAAAGCAATTCCTTTTTATCTTTCCAAGCAGAGACTAATCATGGAAATAGGCTGTCTCTTTTACATTATGCTCTAAATATTGCTCCTATTCTCTCCTTCTTGCTTAACCAACAAATGATCTTCCAATAATGGATTACCGACTAAACATCTCTTAAATCGAGTCACTTTGTGATGAGTTTCTCCATTGCATTTCATATTATCATTTGTTACTGACAAGGATGGGCTGGTGCAAGATAATACCCTCAACCCATATAATTGGTACAAATGTGGTAGAAAGTGACAGTATAGTCAGTCACAGTGAAGTCAAAATAAAATAGGCATCATAATGTTTATGAGAAGTGTAATAGCATCGTCACTTCTAATGCACAGATGTAAGTTGTGTAATTTGTATGATGTCGTGATGCATTTATCATCTGTCTCCATCTGACCCAATTCTGATCCAGTAGACATACATAACCTAAATTGAGCAAAATTTACAATAATGATAGCCTTTCTTGCAATAGAATGTATGATTGTCACGTTAAAGTAATTGGCTATGTTCCCTTGTAGGAAACCTTTAGTGGTTAATTGGTTTTCATTTTAGCATGATTGTGACCCAGCCTTCATTTGTAAACCTCAGTTTATTAAACCAATGTTATGCATAAGCACAATGTCATAATAAACCAGGGTTAAACACATCAGGGATTAGTAATGTGTAAACTAGCCAATACATTTTTAACAACAACTGGCCACTAAGCAAATTTTAAATTATCATGTGCCTAGCCTGTGTTGTTATGTAAAGCTTAGTGTTTTGTGCAGTCATTATATATCCCAACAGTACTATCCGAACTGTATGTTTTGGAGTGGCAACAGTTATGTTAAAAATGAGTTTCAGCTTGGCACTGTAATGTATTTACAAAAGCTATTCAATTATTTTTCACGTGTATCTCAGCTGCTAAACAAATGCAAACTTAACTTTGCCCATACAACATGTTTTAAAGACAGATTACATTGCTATTGATGCTAATTCTTAATGCTAATCTCAACAACTTTATATCCTTTTGATTTTGGCTGTTGGATTATTTTAGTAACATCTTCAGGTAGAAGTTATATATTTTGCTTTTACTGCGTAAACCTATTGAGGTTTAGGTTTGTACAAGATCTGCATCATTGACCTCATTAGCAGTCAAGCTGTTGTTTTTTTTTTAACATATCATATTTGGGAAAAAAATAGCTGTGATCATAGAGAAAATGTTTATTAAGTGCAATACAAAGCTATCTGGTCCAAAGCACCATCTGTCAGATTTTTGAAATACTGAAACTGCATATGTACTTAATTCCATCAAGCTCTACAAGCCATAATAATCTACAAACATGTAATTTACATTATAATGTGTTTTTCATTATACATCAGTGAAAGCATAGGAGGCCTTTTAAAACTTCTGTTTAGAATGACCGTCTTACTAAAAGAAATTTGGTCATTAGACTCAGTGACTCTTTGGATTACATCAAGATGTGTACCTCTTAACTCTGAGAGAAAAGTTTAATAATCAATAGTAAGAGTTTACAAGAAACAGGAAATCATATTAGAAAAAGAAATGGAAAGCTCTGGAAATAAAAGTTAATGCAGCTTCTTCTAGGAAGAAATGATTTGATCTGTTGAATGTGAAAGAAATCTTGCCCTTTCAAAGACAGTCCAGAACTTTAATAATTTCATCTCTTATGAATGATTCACAGCACTGAATATGAGATTCTAAGAGCTCCAGACTGATACATTTTGCCTGAATGGGCACAGCTGCATTACTCTTCCTACTCTAGTAGCATTGATCAAACGTTCAGTTTCAAGAAATATTATATCCATCTGTTCTGAGAACCACCTACAACTATGGGGCACCTTCATATGGGGTGCAGGATAAGCCAGCTAGCATTACCCACACCTTGCGTGATGATTGGCATTGATGAATAAACTGTCATTTAGATCAGAGGTTGCCAAACTTGTCAAATCTAAGACTTGTGGACTTCAATTCCCAGAATTCTTCAGCTAGTATGGAGTTGAAGCCCACAAGTTTTCAAGCTGACAAGCTTGGAGAACCCTGATTTAGATAGATAAGATGCCATGTAATTGCATTCTGACTTTCTCACCGAAGAATTCCTGGGCAGCTTCTAAAAAACTGAAGCCACAGCACTGATGTTAATTTGGGTTTTAGTTTGTTTCCAAATGAGTTTTAGGATTATTTCCCAAAAAACACCTTGACGTGATGCTATCATTGTCAATTCACCAGTTTTTATATAGTTAGTTGGAGGAAAAAAGATTGGACAAATAGGAAAACAATCACATTGGGCCTATGAGCAAGGCTATTGTAATTGCACCATAAGAGCCACATCTGAAAGTAGCTAAATTGTTGGCTAGAAGTAAATCGGTTTATTTTGAGGGCTACCTCTTAAAAATATTAATTGTCCATGGCACAATACCAAATATTTGATACTGAAGTTGGGAAGTTGCTTTAATTGGCCCCATGTTGTATCAGATTCTTTGGGAAAGGGTTTACAGGTAAGTCCTTGTTTAGCAATCATGACCTGGGATCAGCAGCTCAGTTCTTAACTCATCAGTCACTAAGTGAAACTGTGCCTGTGTTTGTGCTCTTGCTTCAACTGTCCTTTGCTTTATAACCCACAAAGGTCATAAACATGAGGATTGGTCATAAAATTACTTTTTAAAAATTATGGTTGCAACTGCAAGTGGCTGCTGAACAGTTGTTAAACGAGGACTACCTGCATATATTTTAGCAACCTTACACCATAAAATAGTCTTTTTTTGTTAATCTGTTAATGAATTCCTATATACTGCACAGCATGGGATTTTATAACCTACTATACAGCAGTTGGATTAACTCCTCTGCATTGCAAGGAATGTATGTGACAAACAGGATGTTATCGTGCTCAAAAGAAAAAAAAAACTGAGGATGGTGTTAACATCAACAAAGAGGAAGAGATCCAGTTAAAATATGCAAAGTGAAAAGCGATGGTCTGAGGTAAGGATTTCAAACCAAATCCGGAGCAGCAAAGCAGATATTCATGAGCTGGACTCAGAGTTGAACTAGCCAAGAACCAAGTGTCTTGTTAAAAGCTCCTTTCACAAGATGCTAGGTTACCAGCTACACCCGTGATGGCAAACCTATGGCACACGTATCTGAAGTGGCAGCCGGAGCCATGATGCCTGGCACGCACGGTGTCGCTAATTCCTCTTCTGGGTTTCTGGCAGGCATGTGCACGTACCAATCAGTGGGCCTTTGTGTGTGCAGCAGTGCCGGTAACCGGAAGAGCTGGTCTTCCGTTTTCTGGTGTGAGCATGTGCGTTGGCCAACCGATCAGCATGTGCGCATGCACGCAGTAACTGGAAGACTTGCTGGCCAGCATACATCTATGCACCGGAAACCAGAAGTACATTTTCCAGCACGAAGTGCTCCCTTTTTGGCATTCGGTGGGTGCCGAAAAGGTTAGCCATCACTGAGCTAGACTGTGTGCAGATATCACCTGGTGATATTTCAAAAGCAATGGCCAATAAGTGGCTTTTAGGGCTAATGGAGCACTGGAAGATGGCCACAGAACATCTTGTTGAAATTTGAGCTTCTTTTGGGCAGTTTCCTTGTGTGGCTTAAGCTTCATAGAATTGTCTCTCTGTTTGTCTGGAGAATGTTCCACTGTTGCTGGACATTGTACTGGTGATGTATTCTTTGGTGATCTGTTTGGTAAGGGTGCCGCCACTTTCCACTCGCTGAGTGGTCATCAGCATCCCATCTGAAACAAAGGGACAGAATAAAAATTGCACAAACAGCAACTTCACCGTGGCTAGATTTGCAGTTCATTCTTAAAGCATAAAATTGGCTGTTTAGGTTTTTGTTGAGTATGTGATGTAAACCCAAATATATAAAAGTGCACTTTGCGAACCCACCTAATTGTGGTTTATTCACTAAACTGTAATTGAATGATGGATTAAGTGTGTTCAATGTGTGTATGTGCACAAACACATGGCCATACCTATGTGAAAGCTTAACATAGTTTATTTTTTGTTTTGTAATCCCTAAGCGTCACTTTTATGGCTTCTGCCCCTGCACTGGTTGCATTTAGGAACACTCTAGAGCCGTTTATCTGATATCCCTAGACCTGTTCAGACACGTGGGAAAGAGCCAAGCCCCCTTTGAGGTAGTAAATATCTCCGCCCTTCCTGAAGTCATGCTTCTGATATCATCTAAAAGAGACCTTTTCATATCCCGTGACATCATCCATAACCTAAAAGGTTTTACATATAAAGCAACACAGATATCTATCATAAAAGACCTGATGGGTGTAACTGCAGGCACTCAGCACTGTTTGTGTGATTAATAAACCATATTTTTGGGGGGTATAAGACGCTCCAGAGTATAAGATGCATCTTAGTTTTTGGGAAGGAAAATAAGATGAAAAATTATGCCTCTGCCTACCAGCATCCATGGTATTCAGCTGACACATGGTAACAAGGTCAGCCAATGAATAGGCATAGCAACTAAAGTCAGCCAATGAAGGCTATTTGGACTCTGAAATTTGCTGTGGGAGCAACAAGGAGACAGGAAGGAGTCTGGCTTAGCCAAGAACTGAAAATGAAACTGTGTTTTGCTTGTATTTACTGCTACCTTGGAAAACTTGCTTTTGGTAATGTATATAATTATTATTTTGAATCCTGGTGAATCAGTTACTTGTGTGTGCTTTCTGAATGTGATTGCTGCTGCAAATTCTGACCAGCCAGGTGATCTTTAGCACTTATTGCAGCCTGATTCAGCACAGCTGATTGGCAGGTGGATTAGCCTGCCGGAATAACCCCAATCAGCTGTTCCAGGCTGCAGGGATTGCCACAGACCATTGCTACCTCCATGCCTTGTGTTTTTGGTCTCTGGCAGGGGTGGGTGGGATTACATTTGGTGTGTAAGACATACCCAAATTTTCACCCTCTTTTTTTGGGGGGAAAGGTGCATCATACGGTAATCCTTTCCAGATTCCTGAATGGAGTTGGGATGCTGGTCATAGTGTGCTTTAAGCAGAAACAGAGTTCTTTTTTGGTCAGAAGTCTCCATTTAATTTTTGTACCAAAAAAAAGCAGTTCTTTAATTTAGAAATAACTGCTCTGCCACTGTTCCTGGTCTTAGCCGTGATGGACAATTTCCTTATACTATGAAAATAATACATTGCCATTCAGTAAAGCTACGTATATATGAAAGGGCCTGTTCATTCATTTTTCTAGAGGGAAAAAAAATCTCTTTATTTTTCTTGAAGTAGAATGGAAGACAAGGAAAGTGGCATAAAGGCCCACATTCTCTTAACATTAGCATAAACACAACTTCAGGAGTAGACTGGATTCCCTTCATCCTCGTTTAACTATTTCTGAATGAAGATTTCAACCTTCCCCTTGCGATCCCAGAGTCTAGAGATTCAGGTTTGTTCTCCTCTCAGATGAATCCTAGATACTCTTCATTAATATTGTCCCAAAGATCTTAGTGAGGTTATTGGAAATCAAGGCAACCCCTATTTCCATCATCCCCCCCCTTTTTTTTTACCTGCATATAAAGGATCCAGTAGGGAGTGAGTGATGCTCGTTTGGGTGTTGTATTCTGTAGGGAGATTGAAGATTTCCTCCCTGGTGAATTGATGTGTTCCATATTGAGAGAATACTCCTGAAGCAGAAAGGGTGTGTGTGTGTTAATTCAGTGCTTGGATATCTAATTCTCATTACATCTAATATTATTATTTTTTAAATGACTTGAGAAGAAATGTAAGAAGGTAGTGTCTAAGTTAAAGCAGAACATTTGTTTTCATGTAACCATGCAAAGCTCTATTCTGTTACTTTTATTTCCAGCTAATCTTCCTGAATATTAAGTTCATCTCTCATTTCTCATTTATCATCTGTCTCCCTTTGAATTAAAATGGGATGACGACAGCTTCAAAAGCAGAAACTTGTCAAAATCATTTGCTTCTTCTTGAAGATCAATTTTCTAATCACTAAGAAAACAGCATTACTTTTAAGAATATTTAAAATGTCCATGTTAAGGAAAACTGATTCACAATTCAAGATGCTGTCTACTCCCATATATTACATTTGCACAAATTGGGTAATGAGGACCCAACTTTGACACATCCATATTACCCTAGCGCTGCGTCTTTAAGGACACATTCACATGTGCATTTAAAAAAAAATTCAAAAGACTTATACTGCTGCTTATATTGTAACAACAACTCTGGATAGTGCGGGAAACATTAAAAACAATCAGAATATAAAATCAATGAAAATTTCAAAAACCCATGGAATCCTGGGACCAACATTTTGCATACATCTAAGTACCACTAGCCTCATCCTATCCAATGCTTGTGAGAAGAGCCAGCATTTCCAGAGCTTCTAGAAGGTAAGGAGTATGGGGGACTGCCAGATCTCTGGGAGAAGGGTATTCCACAGAACATGGGTAGCTGCAAGAAGGCATAGTTCCTAGCCCCACAAAAAAACAACATTTAAGGAAAGCAATCTGAAAGGTGCTCATCCCTGACCCTCATCTCCAGCCCAAACCATTGAAATTTGGGTTTTCCATATCTGATTGGAGTGTTTTGCTTTGTTACAAGTGCAATCTTCAGAACTTCAGAGATGACTGAAGCACAGCTTGAGGTTTGCTGAGTTTTTATTGATCACTTCTTACTAATTCCTAGTGACACTAGTGATATAGAGTCCTAGTGGACAATTACTTAAATATGAGCCATCACTGTGCGGCAGCAGTCAAAAAAGCCAACACTTTCCTAGGTTGCATTAACAGACAAAATCAAAATTACGTGAAGTATTAGTACTGCTTTATAAAGCCTTAGACCACACTTAGAATATTGCATCCAGTTTTGGTCATAAAAAAGATGTAGAGATCTGAAAAGAGTGCAGAAAAGAGGGGGCTGGAGGTTAAAGCATGAAGAATGGTGGCAGGAATTAGGTTTGTCTAGTGAAAAGAAGTACTGGGAATGGCAGGATATTCCAATATTTAAGGGACTGCCACAAAGAAGAGGAGGGTCAACCTATTTTCCAAAGCACCTGAAGGCAAAACAAGAAGAAATGGATGGAAACTGACCAAGGAGAGAAGCAACCTAGAACTAAGGAGAAATTTCCTAACAGTGAGGAGGATTAACCAGTGGAACAGCTTGTCTCTAGAAGTTGTGGGTGCTCCATCACTGGAGGTTTTTAAGAACAGACTGGACTTTTCTGGAATGATATAGTGCCTCCTGCTTGTGCAGGGGGTCAGACTAGAAGACCACCCCCCCCCCAAGATCCCTTCCAACTATGTTATTCTGTTACCCTGCTGCTGTGGCATCCCACCTCTCCTTCTGTTTCTGGCAACTCACCTTTATGGCCATTTCAGGTTAGGCAGGGGGAGTAATCAGGCACCATCCTTGGCCCATGAAACACCTGACAAGACCAGAGCCAGAGCCAATTCCTATAATTTATACTTTACAGTAGGAAAGAAGGAATTGAACTCTGCATTTTTTACATCTTGGTTGACAACGTGCCCTTAACAGCACACCAAGAAGAACAGGTGATAGAAGTACTTTGGTGCCAAAGCATACCTGTGTCTTGAGATTCAATGGTGATAATGCCCTCTCTTTCAGGCCCAAAGCCTTCAGTGGTCTTGGCTTGCACTTTGAATTTATACGGAACATTTTCACTCAGGTAAGGCACTGTAAGGGTGGTCTCTGGGTTATCTCCCTCCACATAGATTGTCCTGGGTTCCCCTGAGCAGAGAAAAAATAAAAATAAGAGGTAGGAAGCTTAAGGAATAATACATATTCACCCATACAGTCCTGTCTCCTCCTCATGCCGGATGCTTCATTTCAGGTGACTGTGATTATTTTTTACAGCTCTGAGCCATCTTACTCTCACCTATAATTTGGGAAATGATCTTATGTTAGCAGGGGAAGCTTTGCGACTGAAGTGGAATGTATTTCAAAAGGCTGACATACCTTCTCCCTGCAGAGTCTCACAAGTGACCATGTAGCCCAGTATTAAACCATTGGGTTGGCGGGGTCTCTCCCAGCTTAGTTGAAGCGAGTCTGGACTCAAGGCTGTGAATATGAGAGGCCCTGGGGCACTGGGTGTGCTCAGGGTAAAGGGTGACCCTATCAAGTAAAGAAGTAAAGGTCAGAGTTGTGTTAAGAGAAAATCAAACAGAGGCGTGGGCAGAAGTTTGAAGATTTAGAATAGTAGAATTGCATCTGGACTTTTCAAATATCTTATACATTGATTGCTTTGTTGAATCCAAAAAGTTAACCCAATTACATTTGGAATTTACAGGAAGTAAAGTACCACTCAAGATTCAGTGCAAGCAGTGGATGAACCTAGGACTGGCACTGGGGAAGCCCAGATTCTAGTCCAGTGATGGCTAACCTTTTTGTTGTTGGGTGCCAAAAATGTGAGCTCGCGTGCACAGTAGTGTGTGTGCGTGCCGGCACCCATAATGCAAAGCAAGCCTCCACATGCGCATGCACGGACAACCCCCCCATGCTTCCCCCTCCCCATCGGCCCACTGCTTGCTTCCAAACTGAGCTTGGTATTTCCTTCGGGGGAACTTCCGGTAGGCCCATTGGGCCTGTTTTTTGCCCTCCCCATGTTCTGGAGGTTTTCTTAAAGCCTGGAGAGGGTGAAAACTGCCTCCCTCAGCCCTCCAGAAGGCTGAAATTCAGCTGGCCGGCACGCGCATGCACTCTGGAGCTAACAGCTTGCATGCTGGCAGATATGGCTCCGCATACCACATGCGCATGTGCCATAGGTTCGCCATCACGTTTTTGGCCTTACGCCACTATCAAGCTGACTTGGGCCCCTCTTTCTCTTCGCCTAACCATATCTTAATTTTAAAATAAGGACCTGACAGTCCCACTTCCCAAAAGAAAGGTGGAATATGAATAACAACTACATGCATGGTTTTCATGCAGAATAAGCACAGATTTCGTTTGAACTCCTCCCAAAAGGCACAGCTGAAAAATCAACATTTGGAAAAGTAGTCGCACATCCATGAACTTGTAAACATTTCAAAACAATTACCTGGCATGGGGCTGAGAGGGCTGCGTGGATCCACCTGTGACTCAATGGTTATCACACCTTCTCTTTCTGGACCCCATCCCTCATCACTTTGGGCCTTTACTTTGAAGACATAGGAGTGGTTGGGTAATAGATCATCCACCACCACCGAGTTCTGCGTTGGATTGGGAATTGTAAGTCTCTTTATTTCACCTGAGAAATAGGAGAAAAACCAGCTGTCATCCCATAAACTACGGTGATCAAAAATTGCCACTTCTATTGGCAGAATAGGCACTGCTAGTGAATGTGATAGGCTGAATGCTACAAGTCACGTCTTGAGGCAACCATGCATATGATCTTTTGTTCAACAATAATTGTGAATGTTTCTTCTTCATAGATGAGATCATGTCCTTCAGTTTAGTATACGTCAGAAGAAAAACTGAGTCCTTGTCTCTTTTGTAACACATTATCTCAGAGAAAACTTGACCCAAGTAATCCAGGGTCCGACTCATAGAGCGGGACATACGCTTGACCTAGTGTTTCTCTTGGGGCAGTGGAGAAGTGATCTCGAGTTAAGGGAAATAGACATCTCACCCTTATCATGGTTGGATCACTTCCTGTTGAGGCTTGATTTTTGGAAGCTACTCCCCCACCGCAGGGAGGTGGAACCGATTAAGTGGTTCCACCCCAGACACCTGATGGACCCGTTGGGTTTTCAGAAGCAGCTTAGGGAGATACCTGACTCTCTTGCCCACAATCCGGCAGAGTCCCTGGT